CTTCCCTTTTTGAGCTGTGAGCCGCCCTGAGTCCCCTTAGGGAAAAGGGCGGCATACAAATGAAATAAAACTCAAACTCAAACTCCACCTCAGCAGCTTTAAGATGCCTGGACTTCAACTCCCAGAATTCCCCCAGCCAAGATGAGGTTGATAAATACTGGCCTAGAAAGACTGCTCATCAATGTTGCAATATGGAGTTGGGTGGACCTTGCCTGCTTTTCTTTAAATGCGTTTTTATCCAGCTCGTCTTTTAATTACACAGCCTGAATCAAAAGGAGCTGACACAAAGGTGGTGGGTTTTCTTCCAGCCCTAGAGAACAAAAGCCAGACAGAGCCGGAGTGTAAACTTATGGATCCAAATCCCACTCGTGATTCCTTAAGTATGGAAGAAAGAACAACAACAATACCCCTCAAGCAAATACATCCCATAAGGGTTGACTGTGGCAAGTATCTCCATTTCGAAACTCTTTTTTTTTTTGGTGAAAAAGAGCATCAAAGGGGGAAAACACAGCAGACACGACAACCTTCAGGCACAGAACATGTGGCGTGGAATTTGGCTTTGTTCTCCTCGCCTGTAGCTTCAACATTCAACACTTGCACAAACTTGTATTGCCCGCTGGCAGAAAAAAAAAGCGTTTTCTCGAACACACGCCCCAAATCAAAGTGATCCCCAGTGACAATGAAGTTCAGTTCTTTACTTTCATGCTAAAGGACCAGCCCAAGTAAGAAAAGAGAGCGCTCTGTAGCTTTATACCATTAATAAATAAAAAGGGTGGGAATTTCCCTTCATTTTCAACTTTGTTTGGCTCTTCATTCACCTGGGAGGGGGAGGAGAGACCTTCCAGGTGTTTGGGACTATGACTCCTCCATCTCTTGCCCATGGCTAAGAAGCCAGGGTATCTCGAAGGGACCAACCTGACAGTTCCATAAGTGCCATACACAACACCGATTGCTCAAATCACTGTTTTTCAATGTTGCCAACTTTGTGTCGACTTCAACTCCCAGTATTCTCCTGCAGAAGGCTAAAGTTGCTAAGATTGAAAAACACTTGAGAGGCCGCCTGCTGCCAATTACCTCCAATAGACCGATTAGATCCCACAGATTAGGCCTCCTCCGAATTCCATCCGCCGGCCAATGCCGACT